GAACTGCAGCTAGCAGTCAGCTGAAGTAGCCTGCAGTACTGCACTCTAAGCACTGCGCCACCTTGGCTCTAGTGTTTTGCTATCTTTACCTCTGACTGAGATTATACTCCCCCAAATCAGTTGGTGCACAGCTGGGATTTCTCTTGGACTCACAGCCCCTGCCTGAAGATTGTGCCCCTGCTGTGGCCAATACACATTTCACAAATACTTACCCCTTGCACCCTTTATGTCTAAAATAAATGAAACACATTCACTTTGAGGGTGGGGATTATTTATTTCATTGAAACGTACCCTTTATCACCCAAGGAGGCAAGTCCAATTGGTAACCATAAGCAATTTAGGATGAATTTCTTAGAGAGCATGCATTTATGCAGATTTGCATCCATGGGAGTTCACAGCACCTCCATTTAGAAAAATGCAACTTTGATATCGTATCTACCTGGATGTACTTGTTTGATTTTGGTAGCATGTACATATATGTATATATGAAACACGCACATACATAGACATATAGTAAACTTGTCTCTTTTGTCTCTTTTTTGCCTGCTTTACAGTTTGATTACTCATGGCTTTGGAACTCCTGCGATTTGTGCTGCCCTAAGCACTTTCCAAACTGTTCTAAGTGAAATGCTGAACTACTTGGAAAAACACACAGCACACAAAAATGGTGGAGCAGCAGAATCTGGCCAAGGACACAGCAACTCAGAGAAAGTCCCACTGAGGAAAACGTCAGAGGCAGCAGTGAAAGAGGGAAAAACAGAAAAGACAGACTAGAAACATCAGACAGAATCTATTTCCAGAGAATTTTGCTGCTGTTATTTTTTTTTAAGAGAACATATATCTATCTAACTATATCTATATATGCCTGTATATCTCCTTGAAGGTGATCTCGCTCCTCTGGACCAAACTGAAGGGGAGGGGGGAGAAAAAAGTTGTAAAAATCTATCAACCGGAACAACTCTACGGACATCAACCATGTGATGAGACTACCCATTTTTAAGTGTTGCTCTTGAAACTGCTGTGTGTGTGTGTGTGTGTGTACGCATGTGCGTGTACACACATTCATTCAATCATTCCAAACATTACATCAATACACATTTTCTTGGCATTTCCAGACTCAAGAATGCCATTCAGGATCACAAAAATACATGATCATGGGATTCACTTGTGCTTGTGGGGAAAATAGTATTGCACCACCCATCTGATGGATGAAACACGAAAGAACTCCTCTTTTCACTTCTAACACCATATGAAAGACCCCTGACTGAAAAATGAAAAACTCAGAACTCTTAAGAGTAAACCATCGCATTGCCAGGACTGCTGATTTGAGGCCTGGGAATTCATAAATAATCCTCATCAAAGCTGTGTCAAAGTCCACCAAGGTCGAGTCCTTCTCATTCAAGGATCAGCCTCAGGATGACATCACAGATTAGAATGAATGAGCCTGGACTTTATCACCTTTTTATCTCTGCTTAGTAGAAGTCAAATCATACATTCAATGAGTCTTTTTTTAAATTTGCGTTTCCATTTATAGCCCATTTTCATCTCAGCAAGAAATGATATACAGTCACGTATTCCTCTGGTTCAAAAGAAGGGAGTGGAGAGGATTATTGTATTATTTTGATATATTTTTTCATAACAGCTCTGATTCAACACCAGATGTTCTCCAAGTGGCGGTAGAGAACAGGCCCAGGTTATTCACCTTGTTCTAGTTCTCTGGGGCATATCTACAGGAATGCCTGAAAGAATAAGAGTATATGCTGAGTAAGTTGTAAGTAGGTAGGCTCTGGGCATCGTTGAACAGGCAAGATTCTCCTAGCACAGTTTGCCTAAAGAGTGTCCATTGCTGCAGATGTTGTCCTGCAATAGACAAACTAAGGATGTTCTAAAAATAAACTAAGGTGACCATCCTTAGAAGAGATATTCATGTACGGGTTCCTGCCTCTCATACTGTCATGGGGATATGAGTAGTGATATGCTTACAAAAGCAGCGAAGAGTTATTTTTAATCCAGGAGGGGAGTAAAACTTCAAAAGTAAAATCTGCCCATTCAAGTCACCCATGAAATTTATATGATAATAATATAAAACTCGGTTGCCATTGCCATTTTTCAAGGTTTTTTAATATTATATTTGTCAGGAAATTAATGCCCAGCTTCCTGTTTGTGGCAGCTTATAACTCTCTAATTTAGTCTAGTCTAAAGACCTGGGGTTTCCTACCTAACCTAACCTACTCCCATTAACTTTTTGAGATCAGCTAAGATTGGTTAGATTTACTTATCAGGACTGAGTCACAAATTAGCAGTATAGGCAATCCTCATTTAGCAGACACAATTGGGATCAGCAACTCAATAATTAAGCAAAGCAGTCACTATGTGAAACTGCTACTGGGCTTAAGATCTTACTTCAGNTTAGGCAGAGATTGGGGATATTTGTAAATAATCAAGTAATTGAAAACAAATGCCAGCAAAGCTAAAGAGAAGATTGTCTTCACCTTCCTCCACATTTCTTTCCTAATAGAGCAAAATCCAAAAATGGTGGGCGGTGTTTAAGAGAGAAATTGGACAGACTGGGCCTCAATCTGCCTGCTGGAAGGAGAAAAGCAGCCAATGTCACCCTCTTGACATCCTTGGTGGAAGGTAAGATTTGTTCTAACTGTGGTGTTAGACTTTTTGGCTTCTGTTCCTAGGCTACATTTACATTTCTGAGTTCTCGGAAACAAACGAGAAGATTTTTAAAAATCATTAAACAAAGACTGTAAAATCAGGAATTTAGTATAAGTAGCATGATTCGTGAACATTCCCATGGTTTTATGTACATTTTATGTCAGGTGGAGAAATAATTGGAGAGAGAATGGAGCAGGGGAGGGAGGTGGAAAGAGAATTTTTTAAAAAATTAATAGAGTCATGCTAATGTTTATTGTAAATCCTTAGCAGGATGCACTCAAGTACAAACGTTAATTGAAAAAATAGTTGGTGTGGCACATGGATGTTTTTGTTGATACTTGGCTACATTTACAGTATCAAGCAATATGTAGGAATATACCAATGATCAGCCTCCAAAATAGATCTTAGAAAACACACAAAATTAACACAGTGATGATGTTTTAGCAGTTTAAAGAATGTTATCCACTTTTATTAGTGGGATTATCAGTTAACCCTATGCATGAGAGACAATGTTTAGGCACCAATGTGCTGTTCTTATAAGAGCAATTGAGAAATAAAAATTCAAGGATGATGTCCTAGCAATATGGCTAGCTTTTGTTTCATTAAGATAGCATGCATTTTTTTCAGTCCCTCACCACAGTCTCAGTTGGGTGAATTGATAAGAAATAAAGTGTTTGTAAGTTAGAAATAAGGTACAGCAATTTTGCAACTTTAATTTTGCAGGAGTAGAGAAGGGAGTCTTGTGTCTTGTGTTTCTCCATCATTGTTTATATTTTCCTCATAGAGGACAGGAGAATATAAAATAAATCCACGGTTTAGAAGGTGTTTTAATATTTTAGTCTTTTCCACAAATCAGATTATGGTTAATGTGGGCTCTTAAGACTTTATTTTAAAAAAAATTCAGTGCACAACTCTCCAGAATATTCGTAAGCAACAACAACAGTCTTTTTCTCTTAGCCTCACTTGATAAACTTAACTAATTATACTGGGGTTCCATTGTGAATTCCTCCTTTCTTTCAAGTCTTGATAATACAGAGATGCCATTTGCATTTTATACTGCAAAGCAAGACCATTTGTCAGGTTATTATCTGGCTTTTCTTGGGGTGATAAAATAGTTTGACTTTTATCCTTTATCTTTATCCATCTGGACGGAATAGATCGTTTATTGCCATTATCATCCTCTGTAGAACTCTAGCATTTTTCTCCACATCAACTATCTTCAGCAAACTTCTTCAGATTTTCCTTGTTAAGTAACAAACCTCCTGCACATTGTTTTTATAACTTTAACCATAAATCAATAGTTCATCTGGGTTGCCAGCCATTACTTCCATTCCAGAACAAAGTGATATGGTAGCTACCAGTGGTGGGCTCCTACTGGATTAGCCAGGTTCGGCTGAACCGATAGTGGTATGCTGGCCTGGGTCGCAGAACCGGCAGCAACTCAGGCTGGCCACACCTCCAAACTGGTTCCCTGATCGCTGCAGACGCTGCTGCCATCTTGTTTTGGAGTATTGCGTGTGCGCAGAACAATTTCTATTGAACTGTGCATGCACATCAAGCACGCGCACAAAGCACGCACACAAGCAAACTGGCAGCAACGCCGGCTATAACCCAGCCCTGGTAGCTACAAACAAGTATGATGAGCCAGCAAATAACTATTAAGAGCTAGAGGCACATCATATTACTTCCTCCTGGGGAAGATTTATTTTTCTGAGGCCTTCACAATGGTTCATTTGTAGTTCTATCACAGATAGCAATCTCTAGGTCACTCAGTTCCCTATCAAGGTAGGAAATGAGCAAAGTGGTGCTGTTTTCCTGAACAATGCAACAGAACAAATTTGTACGATTACAGTGTCAAATACCAGTTTGCCACTCCTCTGTTAAGAGTATTTCATTCTTTCTAACCAAAGTTGAAGTTTGTGAACTGTGATTGCTGTGAATTTTTGATCGCACATACCTCTTTTCCCTTGGTAAGAACTTTTTGAAAGATAAAAGGTTCGATATACCTCATTTAAAAATTATTGCATTAACACTGCTCTCACCCTCACATCAGAAGCATCAATGCACAGAAAGAAAAAAAAAGAAAGGTTCCCTCTTAACACAGGATGCCTACACAAAGCTCTCTTTTAAATCTTGAAATGCCTGTTTACACTTGGGAGTTTAGTGAACTTTATTGAGCTGCCTCCTGGTTACACGTAGACAGGTTTTNGGTAAATGTCTGAAAAAAATATACCTATCCTTTGTTCTCTAAACACATAGGCTTTCGCAGTAACTATTTTTGTCCCCAAAGGTCTATGTTGCCTGCTATAAACACGAGACTATCTAACCTAAAAACCAAAGTAGACTCCAACTAGGTCGTTATTGATCATTCTGCATCACATCATGGCCCATTAAATGTTTTCAAGGAGCTGATAATCATTGATGAAGGGATGATAGCCCTTCTCTGCTTTGATTTCCTAGCAGCTTATATTTAAGGTATGCTCTCTGAAATTCTTCCATTATATTTTACAGTTCCCCCTTTTGAAATAATTCTAATTAATAGCCATTACCAGGCATTGGAATCAGTTTTCATATTTTTAAAGCATATTGTTTACATGCTGACTTCCTTTTTTCAATATTGAAATTGTCTGCCTTTAATTTCAGAGGAAACGCCTAAACGTTGTAGGATTAAAACTTAATTCCTTCTATATTGCATTATTTTTCTTACTTTTAGCCCTGGGTAATTCGTGCATGATTTCATGTACCTGTATCATCTCTCTTTTTACCCATCATTTGTCTAAGCAAGGACGAGCCGTTGAAGCTGCTTGATCATTTAGGTTGCCCTTTTTTGTGATTATGCTATATCTATCCACTAGATACGATAACTTTTATGTTGGTTTAATTATAATTAATCATAAGGACTAAACTGAGGACTAGTGATAGCCATGCATAAGCATGGCTGGTTAAAAAGGCATTTGTAATCTTAAAAAAAATCTGAAGGTGTGGATTACTGTAAGGAATGGAGTGGTTTACTGCAGGTCACCATTTTATCAACTCCATGGAATGCTGGTAGTTTCTCTGAAGTTGAGGCCTGAGATAAAATGCTACAATTATCCTTTAAGATATTCTATGGTGTGCAGGTAGACTCTGTTGAAATCACATGCTCCATCCCTGGGGCCAGATGTTTTTCACATGAGCAAGGCATAGCAAAAAAAAAAAAGTGACTCTCTTTGAGTATCATCCACCAGCCACAGTATGTTGTAAATATTTGATAGCAACTTCTGCTGCTAACGATACCCAGACTTGGCCATTGTTGGAAACTGGAGATAGACAGATGGCATTCTCCTCTTCTTCTCCCCCTTCTCAGTAGAAAATGAAAGTATTTCCTTTGCAGAAAGTCTAAATTGTGTCAGCCTTGAGGGGTGGGGGTGGAAGGGTCGGGTAGGATGTGAGGTACCTTGTGGATGCTGTCAAAGAAGAGTCCTAGTCTTGAGGGCAAAGGGCTGCTTTGACATACATTGAAAGAATATCATTAAAACATAACTGAGGCATCCCTTCCATCAAGCTCTGAGAAAACTGCATAATGACTAGAAAAGACTAGCAGTAAAGCTGGCCACCTCTCCCTTCCTCTTTTAAGATCTCTGAAAATTCTNTAAAGCTGACCGCACGTCACTGCGTCACACACAAGTCACGTCCACTCCAATTCCGCAAATGGGAGAAACATCGTAAAATGTCATGTTATGGCAACGTGACACTGCAAGTTTGACACCCATGACTGATGTTATCACATGCACATTAAAATGTTTCAGCCTTAAGATTTACCTTTTTTTTCTATTTTTGGTAAATCAAGTTATGGACTCTACAAAAGGCCCTATCATGTTCCAGTGACTCTTAATAATAAAATTTAATCATCATAAATCAGTCAATTCCAGATGGTACCAGAATATTTCCCTCCTAAGAGATTGTCAATTTGTGGAATATATTAAGAAGGAAATGTATTCTTTTTTTGAAAAATAAACCAGGCACAACTAACTTGTTAACTCTCTGGAATGCATTTAAGGGATCCCCTGATGGAGGCACCAAGGGATCCATTATCACTTGTGCCTTAGCAAAGGAGAGACTCTGAGACTATAATCTTATTCAGATGGAAAAGATGGTTAAAGATTCTGTTAGAAACCCACCGATGAGCCATATCAAGCATTTATAATAGTAAAGCTTAAATTGGGTGTTCCAAAGTACTCAGCACTATATGTTGAATTAAATATTTCTAAAAGTATAAATGCAATTTCAGTAGCTATAACCCAATGGTAAAAAAAAAAAATCCATCCTTTGGGGCAAATGTAATGTTATCAAAATGAACATTACATCAATCTAAAAAGAGGTTCCTACGTTACTTCCTATTCGATATCTTACTCAGATAAGTAAGCTAATGAGAAAAATTTTATGACAAGCTAAATTCACTCAAATACCTTTGGCCAAATCCAGGTTATTTTATGATGATTGGCAGATTTAACCTTCCAGATTTTCAACTATATTATAGGGATATTATTGAAATGTCTTTTCCCCCTTTGGAGTTAAACTTGTATTATTTTCTTCTTTGGGAATCATATGAAAAGCAAAGGTGTAACATTTTTCAAATTTATTGTCCAGGTATATTAAACAGGGATGATCATTTTTAGTTTTGAAACCTGGCAGGCACTGGTTTATTTGGTTTATTAATAAGTAGAGGCCACTTTTTGATTCAGAATCACAAAGGAAATTG